ATTGTAAATAATATAAAGTATTAAATTATAAATAATACTATAAATTAATTATGAACTCCTTTATTTTAATGCTGTTGGTGAAATTAAAGTGGGCAAGTTATTTCATCCAGGCTTTAACTAATTGTTCACATGTCTGATTTGAAAATACATTTTTCAAGTTCTGTAACCCATTAACAAAAACTTAAATACCAGAAATCCAGCCTCTTTACACAAAACAATTGCCATACTTTACCCCCAGAACTAGGAAATCCTGGTGGCTAGATGTAAAAAGGAGGATTTAAATGTTCGATATTCTCTTCTCCCTCCCTGCTCGTGAGGCACTGCAATCACGTGGAGCAGCAGTTCAGCCGAAGTGGTGGTGTGCCTGGACTTCGGCTTTATTTATTTCAAAGGGTAATTGTATTAGGTTTTTCTAAGTTTTTTGTATTGCAGTAGAATGGGTAATGTTGATTGTCATACGTTGCTGAAAGACAGTGTTGTTTAAAAAAAATATTTTTAAATAGTTTTGTTGGTTTTTTTTTTCCTCCGAAGGATTTGATACTTTTAAAGGATTTTTTCCCAGGCTTCTCTTTGCAGCTTAATAAAGGGTTACAAATACTCTCCTGGATTCCCACAGCTGTGGCCGTGCAATGTGCTCCCACGCAGGAGAGCTTGTGTGGGCCGTGAGCACCGGTGCTGCACCTTCTCTGAAGGGTCAGGGTGCCAAACCTTCAGCGAGTTCAGAAATGAATCTGGGTTTTCCCAGACAAGATTTCAGAGAGGCAAAGAGGATGGGTGCTTTGCAGGGGGATGAGGAGAGGAATTTCTGGTAGTCCTAGCTGTAAAAGCTAGAAACTCTGTGTGGGTTAGGTTTATTTTGTTTTTAATTAAAACTGATTTTTGCCTGAAGTTTTCCGTGGTGCCTAAATTTGGCAATATTAAAATTTCACATTACTTAGTGTCCCTGCTACACAGAAACCATTGTCCGTGACCAAAAAAACCTGCTCTTTGTACAAAACAGAAATGGCGCTGCTGAACTAGTATCATACCAGGTGTAAAACCAAAACAAGGACTGAAGAGAAATTTAGGGGGAACTTGAATGAAACAAACAATATTCACAAATTTGTTTGACTTTTGGTTGCAAGATCTTGGGTGGTTTCTTTGAAAGTGTGAAAATTCCTGAGAAAAAGGTTCCTGCTCTGAAGAGCAGCACCAGGTTGATGTTACCTATGCACAGGGGAGAGGGAGAAAGAAGCTTTGGCATCTTTGTTGGGGCTGAGTTGGTATTTTTTGGAGAAGGATGAGAAAGTAAGAGGTGTGAGCAGAGTGTAGTTCAGGTCCCCGGCTCAGTCATTAACACACTGGGAAAACCCTCATCAACCATTTCATGTCTTGTTCTTGTTTCTTCCTCGGTCCTCCTCCTCATCTCGTCCATTGAGGCACCAAATTCTTAAAGCCACAATCGTGCAAAGCTGCATCTTTGTACTGAGCCCAGCAGGGTGCAACCAGGACTTCCACCGGGACTTCTAGGCACTGTGGAAATACAAAAAACTCTGGCAAAAAGGTGGGGGTAAACCCCAAGATAGTGGTTTTTACAGGGTAATTATGCTGAGCTGAATGTGGAGAGAACATCGTGGCCGCAGCCAGTCTGGGAAACTTGAGAAAGTGCTAAACTGTTGAGGATGTTGAACTTAAACCGTACTCTACGTGGGTATTTTGTCGCAGAATGTCTGCCTAAGGTTTGACATGTGCCTTGCCGTGATTTCCAACCCAAATATTGGCATATTTGATAATGACTGAGATTCAGGAGATGAAACTAACTGGCCTATTTTCAGTGTCAATCCTAAGGGAAATGCCAAAAGTAAATGCTCAGCAAAAGGTGAAGCACTGTAAATCTGCCGGTTCTGGCAAGTTTTATAATCAAAGAACATGAAAGGAGAAATGGCAAGAAAATACTCTTTTTTTTTTTTTTTTTTTTTTTTTTTTTTAAAATGCATTTTAAGCTGATATGATCCATTGTAACTGTTAGGTAAAAACTAAAGTATTCAAAAACTAAAGAATTCAAACATTCAAGTTTTATTTTCAGTTTGTTGCAAGCAGAGATGATGATTTACCCCACGTGGAATATGATCCTGTTGCTGCTGTGGTGATGAGAGGGTTTGTGCCTCCCATGCTAATGACTTTCTGTTCCCTCTCTCCTGGGAGCGTTTTTCCTTTTGCTTTAAGGGACTCGGCAAGCTGCCTAATGTCACCGGTCTGGCAAAGCTGGCAAATGCATGGGATGAGCACCGATCCCTTCACCTCCTCAGGTTTGCAGGGAGAGCAGTCGAGGTGCACGCGCTGGGTCGCAGCTGGGACGTTTCCATCGCACTACGAGGCAGAAATCTCAGTGCCGCCTCTGCCTCGAGTGATTCAAACACGATTGTCACCACCTGGGCTCCGAGTGCTCGGGATTTCCGCAATATCCGTACGCTCCGTTGGTTTAGCTTGGTGTATTAAGTATTTTTATAAGTTATTAGTGCAGACAGTCTTAGCCCTGGGGCAGCTGCTTTATTTGGTTGCTGGTTTTGGTGGTGTTTGGTGTTTTTACTAATGTAGTCAGTTTTGTTAACATCACTAAGCTATACCCTTTATTGTTAGTGTTAAGTAGCGCTTCCTTAAAGATTATTTTAATAGGAAATTAAGCACATTTTAAAGAGAATTAACGTGACCCATAAACTACAGGCGGGTTTGAGATGTGTGCCCTATGGTTATATTCTGAGCTCAGTTCCCGCTTGACTACATGACTTGGGAACATGTCATTTACCTTCTTTGTTCTTCACTTTTTGTCCATGCAATGAGTAGCTAATGATCACCTGCCACAGAGGAGTTTCTGAGAGACTTGGAGGAAAGTTGCGATATAGCTGCGAAGAACTGTTATTATCATTCTTTCTGAATTTTATGATCTTGAAAACAGGAACCTGGTGGAGATGCTCAAGTGAGGACGGGTGGAACCAGCATGGGGCCACCACCCACTAGGTAGCACTTCTGTGTGGCCACCCTTTGAGGGATAACCCTTTGAGGGAAGATGCTGTGTTTTCCCTGAAAAGTGGCTATTTCTCCTAACAGGCAATACATGAGGGGCCCACAGCCTTGTTAATGATGGCGCAGGGGTAATGAGAAACTTGGGGAAATTCCTGAGTCCCAAGAGTGGGAGCTGTACCTATCTACCCTTACACAAACAGGAGAGCATGATGAACAAAGAAGAAAAATTCTCCCTTTTTTTTAACCTTTTCACCTATTTCCGTACGGTGAGTTTTTCCTCGACCCACATTTGTGTGTAAAACTGTTTTTGCTAAGTGTTCATGTAGACGTTTTTAAACAGATGTCAGAGTAGGTAATGTTAACAGATTGGGTTACAGAGCTGTAAGCGGCAAACCTACTTCGTATTTGGAGTTATTTCAGTATAAAGAACACACGATATTTTTAACATTAGGGTTTTTTTCTTTATGAAAACTATGTGGACAATGTGTTTATCATTACATGTGTGTATGTATACATATTATATATAATTGCTTTAATCTCTTCCTCCCTTGCGCCTGTCTTGGCTTCTTGGGTTGCAGTTATACTTCAGAGATTCAGGAATTGTCATCACATGTTAAACAAAATCTGTCGAGTCCAGTGTTAAGTTTCCAAAAGACTTTAACTGTTTGCAAATCAGACAGGAAGACCTATCAGTCCTCAAAAAGAGCTACTTGTTGGTGTTGGGACCTTGGTTATTCTTCTCCAAGCACATACGAGAGAGGCCTTGAATAAACATACCTCCAAGTTTGACCTCCCTTTGTAACTCTACTTCGTTTTTCGTTTTTCCTCTCCAACCTTCAGTTCTTGCTGATAATCTGAAGTCTAACCCAGGAATTAAATGGCAGTATTTCAGCTCAGAAGAAGGCATTTTCACCGTTTTCCCAGCCCACAAGTTCCGGTGCAAAGGCAGCTATGAACACCGCAGCAGGTATGATTTGTCTCCTTACAATTTAGTGGGCAAAGCACTAAAATTGGATTCCTCAAGCACTGATTTTATTTCAGCGTTACGCTTTGCCAAGACGACAACATTCATGAGTAACTTTAATGGGGTCCCTTGGGTTTTCTTAGGTTTGTTTTTTAAAGCACGAGTTTTCACTTTTAAGAAACTGAGATGTAAAATAAAATTACATACAGGTTCCTCACCTCTCCCAAATCAAATAAGCTGTAAATAGCAGTAACTTGTAAATTGTAGGTCAGCCCATAAGCAAAATTTGTCTTGTATTTGACTTATATTTGACTCCTGTTAATAAAGTGGTGGACGTGTATTCTACTGATTTGGCAGGTGCATCGCTTTGGGGAGGGAGGTGGAAGGATAAGAGACTGGAAAGGGCATAGGTAGGAGCATTTTTCCAAGGTTCAAGTGGCACATCGTGGATAGTAGGGAAGCAGAAATAGTGGAAACTTTCTGGTTTTCTACTAAAAAAAGCTCTGGAATAAAGGATCAAATGGTGACAGGGTTTTCCTGTGCAGGGGAATATTCCTGTTCTGTAGGCATGAAGCAAAGCAGTTGCAGTGCAGTATTTTTTTTCCCTAGCTTTTGCTGTCAATGCTGTGGGACTGATAAAGACTCAAGGGTGCAGTCTTCTAAGAAAGTGCAGTGGCTTTAGTATCTCTGGTCACACATTAGCTAATTGTACCAGTTAATGAATCTATGCGGAGGAAGTATCAGCACATCCAGGTACGTTTCCACGTAGCTGAGTGTACAGAGACTAAGTAATGTTTTGGTTACCTGTCAGTGTTGAGCAATCAAATATTTACAGATGTTATCTTCTATGTGTCATCAAAGCATGAAGCGTCTGGGCTTGATTAACTTTTCTGTGGTCTTGGAAAGGTGCGGTCTGACATGTGAGGGGGTACCCCAGTCTTGATCAGAATTTTGACACTAAAACCATTGGTGATTTCATCCAAATCGCTTAGTCTTGGTTGCAGTTTCTCTATGGCTAAATAAGGGATATCTTTTTGCTAATATTTACTTCAGAAGGTAGTTTGGATGAATTAATTAGTTAATACTTAAGTGCTTTGAAGATCAAAGGCCCTATTTAAGTTCTGGGTATTAATACCAGTGTAGAGCTGCAGGCTGTTTTACAATTAAGAACTGATTTGTGCCAGTTGTTTATTGCAGTGCCTTGTCTAAAATCTTCTGCGTTTCCCTTACCCTTAATAAGATTTCTGTGGCTGCCTTTGATATAATAAAATTTAGATCCAAAAACTCACACTTGACTTTAACTAGTTTAGGGTCTGGTCTAAAGAGTGAAGAGAGTCCTGTCTTTTTTTAATTCTTCGTCCCTGCTGAAGATCTTCCTAATTTGTTCCAGGTTGAAACCTTACTACGAGATCTTTCACACATCTCTCACAATATTGAAGTGGATCTGAGCACCGCTTCACTGAAAATAGGTTTTTTGATGTTGGCATAAACAAACACATGGCAGCGCCAAGAGCCTTCACCAGAGTTAACTCAGATTGCCCATGGCGTTTAAAACTGCACAGACCCAAGGGGTAGTGGAGCACGACCCCTGTGAAACGCGTTCCAGGGCACCAAAAGAAAACCCTGTCTTGGCCAGAAGCCTTCCCTTATTACAGTAAACCAAATGCCCTATGCTGATGCAACTCTGCACAGTTGCACAGGTTTTTACTTGTCATGTAACCAGCAAAAACCACTATTGCACTTACTTTTACATGTGAGTAAGGTTCCCGGCACCCAGCATTTCTCATGAGGCATTTCTTGCTTGTCAATGCTTAATCCAAAACTTGATGTGAGCTGCTGCAAACAGTAATCCCAAACACTGCTGTTGTGTCAGCAAAATGGTTTATTCCTAGCTGAAAACAGTTGCTGTGACAGAGGGAGAGGGATCCGATACCTGATTCGGTATTTCTGATTAAAAAATCAGAAAGAGAGTGAAAGCGAGGGCCTTTTCTTTACGTTCAGATTCTCAGCTGGTCTTTCCTAGTAAAAGTTTTCATAAAGGCAAAAATTCCTGTTATAATTCATTGTTTCTTCATGGGGTGTTTTTGTTTTTAATTCTCAACTATTTTCACTTGTAAACGTTTTAGTGCAAATTACAATATGACTCATGACAGTGGTTTGGGTTTTGTTCTCCTTCAGGCCTGTCTATGTTTCTACTGTTCGACCTCAGTCCAAGCATATCGTTGTCATTGTGGACCATGGGGCTTCGGTCACAGAGACGCAGCTTCAGATTGCCAAAGATGCTGCTCAGGTTATTCTGAGCTCTATAGATGAACATGATAAGGTAAGTTTTCTCTAAGCAATGAGCGTATTTTCATTGGTTTTAACCATGCTCAATGTTTTAAGTTTTCACCCAAAGCAGTGTTTTTAACTTGTGGTCCATGGACTCATGGGGATCTGTGGTCTACCTCTAATGGGTGATGAAGACTTGAACTCACTTTTGGAAGCCTGTATTACTGCAGGGAAAACATTTGGGGATCCACAGGCTGGGAAAAAAGTGAAAACCACTGATCTAAGGCAAAATCTTGTTTCTGAGTGATGTTAAAAGGCTCCTTCATCTTGGCAGAGACTTTAGGTGATGGTCAGCAGTGTGATACGGTGTGCAATTAGGAGAACCATGCTCCGAGCCTGATGACTTCTGAAGTTCTAGATTGCTTTGGACAACTTTACCTTTTGAACAGTTTTACCTCTGAGGCTGTCTTTTTTTGCTTGTGCAAATGGAAATGATTTATTCTGCTATATTGGAGTGAGCTGAAACATAATTAGTATTTGGAAGATTCCCAGACAACCGTGATACCAGCAAGGAAAGGCTAAAGCAAAGGGCCAAGAAATATGGATTTTTTTTTTTCTTGCTCTGCCACAGATACTCTACCTGACAATGAGAAAGTCACTTAACCTGTAATTTTTTTTAAGTACAGATTACAACCAGGGGCCTATAAGGTGTTTCTGTAGGACCACAAGCAGTCCCCAGTTTGGTCTTTACTTTCAGTAATTCTCTGTTAGCAGGACGTTGATCATTCTTTCTGTTTGGTTGGTTGGTTTTTTTTTTTTTAATAGGAACGGAGTTTCAGTCAAATCAAGTTGAAGGACAACTGATTATAATCTTTGCCTTAAGTCTTCTCAGTAGTAGTATGGGAAAAACACTTCTAACTTCTGTGCTTTTATAGAGTTTTTTAATACAGTATAATAATGCTTATAGTTTAGCAGAATTAATAGTACTTAAATTTAAGTGGCAAAAGTATTTGTCTTAATATAGGCCTATAATGAAGAAAATACATTTTAGACATATATTACTTGGTCAGTAGCTCAGTGGTTATGAAACCTGTTATACGGGTATATAATTACTGCTTTATTCTATGACTGTCTTGCATCAGTCATAATTTATAATAGAGTATGCCACTCATTTAATAAGACTGGTATGTTATGTGTCTATTAATGCAAGTGTTACCACTACATGCCTTAACTTATTTACAGGATAAAAATTGATGGTAGATTTGGCTTGCTTTGACTGAAACATTAAAACAACATAATGCTTTGACTGTGAAAAGTTCTTAGAGGTTTTTTTTTTTCATTTTCTGTATGCACTCCACTTTTCTATAGGCACTCAAGGCTCTGCTGAAAATGCTATCTGCTGATTTTGTGTTCAGTTATCTCTAGTTCACTTAGACTTCTGCCCAGAACTGTGTATTAACTATTATGTACGAGCAGAGTGAAGCTGACTTCATCTGAGAAACAAAGACTGAAGTCTCTTTTTCTTGAAATCACCATAAGTCTAATCCTTTTCAAATTTGATGGATTTATGCCTCAAGCATTTATTTTTTAACAATTGAATTTTAAATCCATGGAATTTCTTCAGTTGGCTTATCATTGTGTTTTCTATATCGGTGCATAAAGAATTATAAATGGTAAGGTAATCCAATATAGTTTCTTCTCTTTCAAGATCTCTGTGTTAACCGTGGCAGACACAGTAAGAACCTGCTCACTGGATCAGTGCTATAAGACATTTCTGTCTCCTGCCACCAGTGAGACAAAAAGGAAGATGTCCACCTTCGTTAGCAGTATAAAGTCATCTGACAGCCCTACGCAGCACGCAGTGGGATTTCAAAAAGCTTTCCAGTTGATACGAAACACAAACAATGGCACAAAACTCCAAGGAAGTAAGTCTCTTGTTGTGCAATCCTGATTATTTCTCAGGCTTGCAAATGTTTTCTTATTTGAGATTCTCACTTTGACAGAGGCCAAAGGAGTATAGTGTCTTGAATATTAAAAAAAAAAGCGGGGGGGAGCACATGTTTTTATTAAGTAGCGTTTACTTGATCTGGAATCTGCATGAGTGACTGTTGAATGTGGCCGTTCCCTTTTAATTTATTTCAGTTGCTGACTTTCCTTTCTTTTGAACTATAAGATGAAATTGCAGGATTGAATTGCCTGATAGCTGAATTAGTTTCCAAATGCATGCAGGGAGGTTTTTTTAATGAAAATTGCTCTTACTGCAGCTTCATTGACTTATTGTTAAAACATACCTGTATGGGTAATCCGCCTAACTGGAATCCTATGGAAGTGGCCCTTGCTTCTCAGGGGAAAGGGCTTTTTGAGAATACCAATTATGGGTGATATTTTACAGAATGTGAGGTTGGCCTGGCTAAATTTTCCTTCATCTAAGAATATCCTCCTGAATATTGGTGTATGCGTTGTGGGCTTTCTCCTTGACATTCCCAAGACTGGGGGGGGGAGAGGTGTTAATGTTTTTTGTAATGAGGATGTGGTGAAATATGTGGAGAAGATGGATGTGGAATTGAGTGGCACATTTGCTTGCCAGGAAGCCGTGGAAAGCAAATTCTTGAAGCTCTGCTCTGAGCGCTCATTGGAGTCTAGTAACATTGCCAATGCTGCGGCAGGGTGAAGAAATCAGACCGGTCTCCATCGGTTTAATCAATTTATGTAACGCAGACCCCATAGCTTGGTCCTGTGCCTGCTCCAGTGAGCGCGCATTCTTCATTGTCCTGAAGGGCACCAGCTCAGAACAGAAGAAAGTGAAAAAGAAAAGTCCAGGAATGAGAGTCCTTTGGAAAGTCTAAGGAAATGTGCTCCTACTTCATGTGACTCCTTCGGTTTGTAAAATGGTGCTTTTGCCAACTTCTGAACTTTAGGCCATAGATACAGTGAAACTTTTATCTGACTGTAAACTGCTTAGCTGAAAGAGAAGGTTGTCAAGGGCAGGTTTTTACCATCCTCTGGCAAAATGATGAAAGGGGTGCAACTTTCAAGAAAATAAAAAATAAATAAATAAAAATCCAGCGCTGCTGAAGCTGGCTGGGATAAGATGCGTTAGTCATCAGTAGTTATTCCAAGAACATCAGCTGTGGAGTCTTGCAGCTTCCTCCTACATATCTTTGATGTTTGGCACTGTTTGTATATTAGGATTAGAAGGTTTTGGCATATTCTTCATCAATGTGAAAACACTTTACTAGGTTTCATACCAAACAATTATTTTGGGGCACAAGTACAGAAAGTTAAAGGAAAGGCAAATGCTTTGGATTTAGGTTTTCTCTAAGTATGAAAGATTTTGAAGACCTAATGCGTGTATATAGCAAACTTCAGAATTCATAGGGTGAGACACAATAGGTTTGAGAAGAGGATGTTTATAAAACATGTCTCATTTTCTTGTAAATAATCTTTTCATCTTTCTAAAAAAGAAAAATAAACCTAGAAAAAAATATCATTCACTTCACTGTTAATTTTCTAACATCCTGTTCCCGGAGAACAATGTGTGGGTGTGTCGGGGAAGCTATTGAGATACAGACTTGCTCCCAAATTTGCACTGGAAAAGTTAGAAGGGAACTACTGGTACGAGATGGAAGAATTGTGCCGTTGAACACGCCTGAATTTCCTGCCTTATGCTGGTTCCTATTGCAGTCCTGCTCAGCAGACCCTCATCCCAAAGCGTAAGAAAATGCTCTGCCACCGAGCACCATCATTCCCCAAAAACATTCTAGTTAAAGAGGGGTGGGGGGTGGGGGTGTGGGGGTGTGTGTGTGTGTATATAAAAAAAATTGCAGTGTGAGTATATGTTATACACACACACACACTATAGATAGGTGCAGTCATGGTACACGGAATGTAAGGGCCTTTTCCAGCTATCAGAAGTGTAGTGTATCAGATAGCCTAGGATGATCAGCTGTTGAATAAGATGCCCTGTTTAGCACAGGTCCCTAATGCAGACTTAGGACTGTCTTATGTTACTCCTGCTAGCAAAGCTTTTAGACTGCAGCATCATGCCTGGCTGCAGTATATAATAGCTATGCTATAGCCTAGGAAACACATTAACAATTTTCCTTAAACTACAGCCAAAGTGCTATTAATACCTGGCTTTGCTTTTTTCCCTAGTTTTAGCTTCTAAATAAAAAAAGGCAGGAATTACCCCCAAATTAACAGCTCCTCTTAATTTGTTTGTATCAAAAGCCAATTCTAGCTGAAATTCTTTTCAAGTCATGATGACAAAATGTACAAGTCAAAGCATTTGTAGCTATTTAAAAAAAAAAAAAACCAACAAACCCAAACAAAAAACAAACCAGATGAGACAACAAAGTTGGTATATAACCAACTAACCTCATGTGCTTCGGATTATATGGTGGTGTATGATCCCTACAAGTGTCTTAATTACATGCATAAACCACTTTTAATAATGAGATACAATATGATGAAACGGGATGGTGTGTGAGCAATGATTTGAATTTACATGTTCAAAGGCTTTGAGGCAGGCCGTTCGCTGAGAACATACTCGGCTTGAAAAACGTGTTCAACTTCATGCGAAACGAGCCGATGATGAATGGTGGTGTGCCGTGTCACATTTCTCAAGCATTACGCTCTAACCTACAACCGTACGAAAGCGTCGGGTGCCTTTCATCCTGCGGCGTCCTCCAGCTATCGCGCTGCAAGTCGGGGACTAAATTGCAGCAGTGCTAATGCAGGCGCGAAGGAGGAGTAGTGGGTGAAAAGGTCTTTTGCAAGGATCTTGTGTTTCTCATGTACGCCTGTTGGGGTGCCCACCACCGTGCTACAGCAGGGGCTGATCGCACGGCCAGACCTTACTGGAAGGGAGGACGAGGAGGGACCCGCGATGTCGAGCCCTCTGCACAGCTCTTGCAGCAGCAACAGCTGGGAAAGCACCGTGCACTTTTCATGTAGGAAACACATTTGGATGCTCCACTGGGATGCAGCTCCACTCCCCTCTATAGAATTGCAGGACGGGAGAAGAACAGTGGGTCAGGAGATGAAACCTGCAGGTCTTCTGCTTTTGTTAAGCCCTCTCCATGGGGTTGGAGCAGCTTCTGCAGCACACTGCACGCTGGTCTCGCGTGCTCCTGCGGGGTTGCAGCCAGGCCAGAAGGTGCCTGTGAGGTCTGCTCAGGAGAAACAAGCCACAGTGCTTCTGGGTAGCTGGGAGGCACCAAATCAAACAGATGTTTGTTAAATGCTATGAATGAAAGTTTAATAATGAAGGATATAATTCATAAGACTGCAGCGTATTTATCCATTGTAGATTCCTGTGAATCTCATAAATGAAGCTGTTAGCAATATATGGTTGTAAGCAGATGTAGGGGCTCTTACCACATCACTTTCCTGAGTTAAAAAGCTAATGCACTTTCTGCTATATATATATATTAAATTCTTTTTAGATACCGATATGGTCATAATTTATCTCTCGGCTGGGATTACATCAAAAGATTCATCGGAAGATGACAAAAAAGCTACTCTCCGTGTCATCAATGAAGAAAATAGTTTCCTCAATAACTCAGTAATGATTCTTACTTACGCGCTTATGAATGGTGAGAAATGGTTTTGTATTTCCAGTGGATGAAAATTCCCCTTCATTGTACAGCTAGTTTATTAAGCTCATCCAAATGTAATTCCACGCCTTATTGAGAGCGGTTTGCTAATGGGTTTTGGCCTGTGTAATCCAGAGGCTGCGCTAAGATGTTATCTCTTTGGTGTATAAAACTGTGTGCCACTATATGCTTATATATCACAGTGCAGCTGCTCAGGATATAAAGTATTGTTGGCTAAATTGTGTGGTGGCAACCAGACTGAATTAAATTTGATAACTATTGCAACTGTAAATCTTCCTGACACTGCCCGTGTTTCCTGGTGCAGCAAAATGAGAGTATATGTGACTTCTGTTTCAGTGCTTTGATAACTTAGGACACAACTTAAGAGTGAAGTTAAATATGAAGATCACGCACACAGTAGTTTGGCATCCTATGCTTTTTCCAACAAAGCATTTTTAATAAGAAGGCTATATGTTGTATTACTAAAAATTGCACATGGGCTCTAGCCAAGGAAATTAATGCTTAAGCTAATGTATCATTTGACTGTAAATTTAAATACTCATTTGAAACCTAATATGTACAGAAGTCTTTGATTTGTCTGCAGGAATTGAGCCTGGGACTTATGTAAAATGTGAAACTTTAATGTTTAAGCTAAAGAACAAAGCCTGTTATCTCCAAGGGGTATAATACGCTCCTGGTCCTTTATGTGGACTAGCCACCGGTGGAGAAAGAGCTGTCCTGTGGATTTATGGGTCACATAAGTCTTTGTTAAAAGATCTTGTTTAAAGTGGTGATGTGAACAGCATGTTGAATTTTGCACTGTGCAACAGTATGTGAGAGGCAATCTTACTAAATTTTGTACTAGCTAATTACTTTTCCTAAAACCATACTAGTCTTTCAGCACTTTACCTTATTGCTTAAATAAGCCTGTAGTATATTCAGTCCTACAGTAGAGCATATGTATCGTTTTGCTTTTATTGACAATACTTTGGAGTAAGATACAGAAGGCTTGATGGAAAGTAAGCTGCTTCTATCTCCTTCTGTTTCTGACATCTGTTTCAGAGGGAGTGACAGGTTTGAAGGAACTGGCCTTTCTGCGGGACCTGGCAGAGCAGAACTCGGTGAAGTACGGGGTGCCGGACCGAACAGCCCTACCTGTGATCAAGGGAAGCATGATGGTCCTAAACCAGCTGAGTAACCTGGAAACTACAGTTGGCCGATTCTACACAAACCTCCCCAACCGAATGATCGATGAGGCAGTCTTCAGTCTGCCTTTTTCAGATGAAATGGGGGATGGTAAGTGCTTACACTGAATTTAAGTATAAAAATGTAAGAGATCAGGTTCCTTTTCGCTTACATATTCCTGAACATACTGTAGTCTTATAAGGTGATGCTTTTAGGTGTGTTCCCAAAGCAAATGTAAAATTAGCCTTTCATGCCAGTAGGTTTTTTTAACTGCAGAAGATCTAGTTATGAAAGAAGTGGTATTAAGACATGGAGTAGATAGATTCAGGTTGGATTCTCGAGGGTGAAATTTGTTCTTATATGTGTGTATGTATACAGCATCCATAATTTAATTTGTGGAGAGAAATTCTTTGTACTTGAGGGAAGCAATCTTGTCATGTTGAAATGACGCTGTGACCATGCTGCACCATCACAGCGTTCGTTATTTCAGTACTCCTGTATGCCTTGAGGCTCTTACAGGTAGACTCAGGGGATTGCATAGGTCCCCACATTGGAGGAGAAAGTTGTTATCGTTTGAGCCTCCCTTTCCTGTGGAGCCATGCATGTGACTTTTGAGTCATCCTTCCTGCTGGAGTTACCTTTTATTCTGTCTTTGCACCCCAAGCAGTGGCTCTTCACAACTAGTTTAGCATCCATTCCCTGCTGCCGGGCTGTAAAGGTGGGAATGCCGGACGCTGGCAGTCAGACCTCTGTAAGAGGGGGAAGGCAACCAGCTTAGCAAATGGCACAAAGAGAGATTATTAAATACTGTCCCAAATGTGCTATCCTTAGCTCTTCCTTTAGCTTCAGCACGCTTGGTCTGCCCCCAGCACCAGACAGGACAGGAAGGCAGAGCTGGCTGGTGATGGCTTGGACGTCTGGAGCAATGATACGCTGAATTTAGTGGAAGCCTCGTGACAATTTTTCCACAGACTGTGAATGCATCCTGAAGAATATCTTAACGCAGCAGATGTCTGTAGTCTGGTTCTCCCGTCAGTTTCTAATTTACACTGACGTGGTGGGAAGGTGCATGGATCTGCCCTTTTACCTTAAAACTAGATGCCACGTTACCAAACACTGTGTGTTCAACTTGATCTGATCTCACCGCTACATCCAGTAATGGAGAGACTGAAGGTGTAGATATCGATAGAGACTTCTGGGAGCGTACCAGCATGTGTATAAGGTGACACACGTGTAAGAAATGCAGAAATTAGTTTAATTGTGCTCAGGGTAAGCATGCACTGCAGGGTGATCCTATTTGGGTTCTTGCCGGGGGCAGGTTCAGGAGGTAGGGAGCGGTCTTAGGCTGCTCCCACAGTGCTGGCAGAGCTCCCCCGGCGGGACACACACCCAGCCGTGAGTCCCTCTGCCTAAGCTAATACTTGCTTAAGAGTCATCAGTTGTAAGCTGCAGTGCTACTGCTCCTTTTACCTTTGGGATCTGGTGCCCTTCCTAAAGCTCAGCGTACGCACTTGGAAGGTCGGAGCTGTAGGGTTTACCCCTGATAGTTCTTGGGCAGCTCACCTGACGTTTCTCTAGCACTAGCACTGCTCCAGTGCTCTGTAAAGAGATACGACCATCACGGTGTTGTTAGGAAATACACTGGTGATTTTATATTGCTTTGACAATTGAGCAAATTCTGTATTTCTTCATTCAGGATTGCATATTCTTAGTCTTGGCTAGTACGCAGGAGTAGTTGAGGGTTATGCTGAACAGTTTTTAAGGGCTGCTGAGTTTAGGTTGCATGTTTGCCTTGTGTGTTGAGTCCCAAAAGAAATTTAAGACTCTTCCTGAGCAAACCTTTTCTGAGTCAGAATGCTTGCTACTTTCTGCATTTCCTAACCTCGGTAGTGGAGCTGTATTATTACTCTCTCACAAAGCTGTACCCAAGCATAATGGAAAATTTGAGCAACAGAAGGATTAGAAGTGGTGCAATAGAGAAGGTTTGTCTTACATAAATATCAAAGTGTACTTAAAAGCTTATGCATGCAAACGAATTTTATATTGGTTTGAAGGAAAAGAGTCGCTGAGTTTCCAAATAGCAGCGGTGTAGAAAGTAAGAGAAATAAGGTATTACCAAGAGTTCTTACCTCAGGCACAAGATGCATCCCAAACCATTGTGTAATTATGGGTGTGATTCCCATTACAGTGGCCATGTTGGGATTTAGTTAAGCAGAGGAGGTTTAATATTCTGAATATGCAATTAGATGAGCAATAGTTCATCCCTGTTGTTGCTTTACAAGTACAAATTCTCTTCCTCCCTCTTCCCCCTATTTTTTAAATTGCCTTAAATGATGTTAAAGGAACAAAATACTATCTTGGCTTTTCATGCAAATGCATCTCTTATCTGTAAGGCATCCACTTGCAGACTGACAAAAACCCCAAAACATTAATTGTGGTGTGTATTTTAATAAATTGATTAAATGTACCTTAGGTCACTATCAGAAACACAGAAATTAACTAATTAGGGAGAATGGCTAAAACCAGCCAGACATGGCAGATAACCTGCTCAGCTTCCCTGTAGGCATGCCAATTTTTGTCCATATTCCAGCAAGGAACACTGTATAAAATTTAACTGTATCACATTTTGAAATGATAAAGCTCATGCTCTGTTTTCTCTAAAAATAATTAACTAGATATTATTGCTGATGTTATTTCTCTCATTCTAAGGCCTGATAATGACTGTAAGTAAACCGTGTTACTTTGGAAACCTGCTGCTAGGGATTGTTGGAGTAGATGTTAATCTCGCATATATCTTGGAAGATGTCACCTATTATCAAGACTCCTTGGGTTCCTACACTTTCCTCATTGATAATAAAGGTAACTTTTTGGCTCAAATAATCTTTTCTAGTCCCACTGAGATCATTAACCATCAAAACTCTTAATTCTCATGTCTCAAAATAGTCTATAAGTAATGAATGATAATATTTATTAAAAGATTAATTGCATGTTGTTTGGTTAGTTCTGCCTGAGAGTTGTCGGACAGCTGGAGACTGTAGCTGGATTCATGACTTGAAACTTCTGTACTGGAGTTTTGATGTGGAAATGTTTACTTGCTGTTGAGATTTTCTACATGTGTAACAGAGGTTTTCTATATGTGTAGGGCAAAAGGCAAAACTGGTTTATTTGTGTGTTCAGCTCTTTTCCTCTGATCCCAACCTGTTTTTATTGCTTGGCTCTTTGAGCTGTCTTTCATTTGCAACTTACCATGTTCTTAGTTTGCAACTTCTTTGGTGATAATATTGCTTATTCACTTACATTTGTTAAGCCTTTGTAAAAATTGAGGAGCACTTGTATGTAGTTACTGTAGTCTTTTTTTTTTCTATAAATATTCATCCTGGACTCAGTTGTTACAATGCATTCAATGTCTGGTTTTCTGTCTTTATTTTTTAGGATACACTCTTATGCACCCATCCCTTACCAGGCCCTACCTGCTGTCTGAACCACCGCTCCATACAGATATTATCCATTATGAGAACATTCCTAAATTTGAGCTGGTGCGGCAGAACATCCTTAGGTAAGGAATCGGGATGTAAGTGCAAACGTTAGCAGTCCTTAGGGCACTAGAAGTATTTCTAGAGGAGTTTTAAGAGAATATAGAGTAAAGTTCCTTTTCCTATAATATCTGGATACTCAGATGGAAATTTTTTTTTTTCCCCTTTTTTTTTTCCTACCCACCCCCAAATGCAGAACAAGTCTGGTTTGATTTTTTTCCTCCAACTTTCTTCATTTTATCACTTGGTGTGCTAAGCAGTGGTTTCCACAGCTGACCTGGGGGCTACTCTTTCTAATCTCTCTCTTTCATGACAGAAAGATTTTCCACTATTTGGTCTGGGTTTTTCTTTATCCTTTGTCTAATCCGAGTATGTGTTTTAACTCAGTGTGGTGGTACATGAGCGCATTTTCAGCATACATACACTTTGTCTTCACCTAAGACAGATAACAGTTCATCTCTTTATATCTTATGATACTTCTGTAAATGTACAGAAGATGGGTTTTGCTTAAGAGCTTTCTCGGTGTTTAATAAAATGCTGTATGTTATATTTGCCAACATAGCATTCCCCTGGGCAGCCAGATCAAGTGTGGTGGTACATGAGTGCATTTTCAGCATACATACACTTTGTCTTCACCTAAGACAGATAACAGTTCATCTCTTTATATCTTATGATACTTCTGTAAATGTACAGAAGATGGGTTTTGCTTAAGAGCTTTCTCGGTGTTTAATAAAATGCTGTATGTTATATTTGCCAACATAGCATTCCCCTGGGCAGCCAGATCATTACGGTTCCTGTGAACTCCTCACTGTCTTGGCATGTAAACAAACTGAGAGAGATTGGAAAAGAAGCCTACAACGTCAGCTATGCCTGGAAAATGGTAAGGAATAAAAGTGACACTGTTGCAGGATAGCATAGAGTAAGTTCATATATTGAAGAGTACATTAATGTATTGAATATAGTGAAGCATGAAGTATGCTATCTACTGAAGTATGAAAGGTTTGAATTACTCAGAAACCCCACGAATGTTACAGTGAAGAACCAATGAAAATTACCATTTCAGGTTTGCTACCATGTCATCTTCAGAGATGTGTCTGTATGGATACTTGTGTGCTCTTTCTTCATGAAGGCACTCATTTCATAAGACATATGTAATGTACAGTCACATAGAGATTATACTCGTGCTTTCCCAATGGAAGTAAGTCTGTACTGGTCTGATGTCATACTGCAAGCCAGGTGACACACAAATACCTACCAGAGACCACATTTGAGTACAGTGCTGAGGCAGGGTTTAGTATTAGGTCATTCTTTTGCTTAATACTGTTGTTATGTTTGGGGCAGAGTAGTATGGTCCATTAATTAATATAATTGGGAAAATGTCAGCTTTTCATTCTGATGCTATCTTTTTTCAGAACTGTAGCAGTAGCCAGTAATGATGTTTCCCGTAATTTAACACTTTTCTTACAAACATTAGTTATATCGAAGCTTTCATTTGAAACTAAGTACGATGTGTACGCAACAGGCTATATTACCAGTTGTAAGAGCTTTAAGAGAGCTTCTAGCAGCTGTCTTCCTTTCTTCAGTTTAACTTTTGAACATATCTGAACACTAATCTTGACCCAGGGATTAAAATGGAATGTAAAGTTAAATATAATCCAGGTGAATTTCACTGATGCCAGAAATAATTGGCTACTTTTTTTGTGCCAACAAACTTAGGAGGGTACGCTGATGCCAGAAATAATTGGCTAGTTTTTTGTGCCAACAAACTTAGGAGGGTACTTGTGGATCATTTCACAGTATTAAGTTAAATCCAACCTGAAAGATTAAGCTAAGCAGTTTTAAGAGATTAAATCTGTCATTGTGTAACAGAAATTCACATACGAGGGTGTCTGGAGCTAATTTTCGAATGTTGTAATGCTACATTAAATATCAAACACCGTTGCAGAGCAGCTGGGCAACTCCAAGTTTTGCTAGTCTGATGTACTATAGGATACTTAAAATATACAAACCAGTAAAGCATGTGACACATGCAACGCACAATTAAGAGTGGTAATGATAAAATCTTATTTTCGAGAGTAATTCCCATTCTTCATAATGGGAATACGTGTTTTTATCAACTGTGAACCTGAAGCCTCTCCTCTGTTAATGACACTTTAAAAGTATCCACAAAACAGTGTTAGAAATTATTAGTAATTGAGCAACAAATTGAAGGTCGTAATGTAATCTTTTTTTCCTGAAAATTAAATATTTTTATTTTGTGCATAGCCTACGGAAAAGCATTTTTTGTACAACTTAGTGGCTTCAATACATACAGGATGATTACAGCCTGGAATGTGGCTGTGTGGGACTTCAGACGACTGAAGACAACCGTCTCTATCCTGTATAGAGACTGATATGGCTTGAAAATTTTACCTGCACAATCCTTTTCTCTGTTTTCTGTAGGATTAAGTCCATATTCGCTTCTTTGAAAAGGAGTTGTCTGTTTTCAGGGAGACTGGGAACTGTGATCCTTGAGAATATGGCAGTGTGGTGCTGTCTTCCAGAACTGGACGAGATGAGCAATTAAAGAGAATGAATGCTAAATAGAAAATAAGTTCTGTAACACCTCCACCTTTTTGTTTCGGTTTGATGACTTGCCCATATTTTTCAGGTCCAGGACACATCCTTTATTCTGTGTGTCGTGGTAATACAGCCAGAAATACCTGTTAAACAGCTGAAGAATCTCAACACTGTCCCCAGCAGCAAGCTCCTGTATCATCGACTGGATCTGCTGGGCCAGCCAAACGCCTGCCTGCACTTCAAGCAGCTGGCTACCTTAGGTAAAGCTTTCTTGCAGTTTGTCTTGACTTCATGCATATTTGTGTAGAGCGTGGCAGCAGAAAGTAAAGTTCTTCTCACAAAACACTGGAAATACTCTCCTCTTGAGAGGCTTTTATTTCCAAGGCTGATTTTCTAATCAGCTGTTACCTTCTTAGAGCTCTTCATAAATCATAGCTACCCTGCTCAACGGCGAGCACTTGCATGGATGAACGCAGTGGGACTGCTCGTTAGAGTACGAGATAAATGCACCGTGAGTCTTGCTCAATAAAGTTCCCAGCAGGTGGAGTGGGGAGAGTGAGAGATGTCTCACCAAGCCTAAAACTAAGTTCTCTTCTCTTGGCTGTAAAGCAGCTTATTGACAAATACCATAAGTAGGATGAAGTCCTGGCCAGTCGTGCAGGACTACTATTCTTTTGACTTTGATTTATGCAAGTTTTTCAGTGCCATAAGCATTTACTACCATCGATCCATGTGAAGTCAGAAGTTAAGTCTGTTGGGGGAAACTGAGAACTTCAGTGGTGTGATGGTTTCCAGACCCTCCTTACCTGCTCAAAAATTCTCAGGTTACTGATGCATTCCATAAACTGATTCTGCTCTGCCTGTCTAATTTCGATAGTTGCTCAAACATTACTGGAAAGAGGGAGAGTCTCCATGGCAGTATAAGTTCTAGTGTCTGGAAAGGATAGAGAACTTAAAAACCATAATATATTCTAAGAACATAGAGGTTTTTTTATATAAGCATCGTAAGTTGCAAGCTTTCATATTTAAGTATTAATCTTGGGGGTTTTTGCTAAAATATATGCTGTATTGTAAGAAGTTCTGAATGAAGTGCTTTTGTTTGTAGCAAGGTTTGAAGGTCTCATGGTGGATTAGCGGCACAGTTGTGATATTTTCTTAGCTGTATTGCAGTGCCACAAATAGCTAAGTGAGATTAGACTGGAGGAGTTATGGAAGAAGTTGACAAACCTATGGAAATTGCTTTGCCAATTGCTTAAAATACAGGGGTTTTTCTTTCTTTAATGTGGTGCCTAGTCTTGATTATCTTATATCCAGAAAGACAAAATATAAATGGAAAATATCCAAAAAACGCAGTACTAAGCTGACAAGTGGAAAAACTTCATGCAAAGCAAAATGCAATCACATCAGAATATTTGGTCTGGGAAGCAGATGAAGGACTATAATAGAAGTTCATAAGTGATGACCGCAGTACATATGGTTGCTGGATGTATGGTGATGTGTTTTAGAGGAATGTGAATAAAAGCAGAACACTTCACGTACTCCAATGAAATTTTTCCTCTGGAGACCATTACACATGGGGAAATCAGGTTCCATGGGTCAAAGATTCAGAAAAGGCGTTCTTCTCAACCTTCAGCCCTGCATTATCATAATCGTTTTTCTTTTTAAAAAGAAAAAGCTGTCTGGTATTGCAGTTTCTGCACAATGAAAGTTTACTTTCTAGTCTGTTCTGAAAATCACCCCAGAGAGCTACACTTTTATTGGTAAGCTCCCTCTTCTGCGCTTTTAATTGTCCATTTGTTCATTATCTGTAACAGAAAGTGCTCGTTTTCATTTTCCTCTGCCATATCTAACCTAAGCATGGATAATTAATCTCTTCTTCTTTAGCACAAAATCTTTTCTTAAGGGAAGACTGCTTCTGTAATCTTTTGAAAAGTAGTAATTCAGAAATTGTTTAGACTTTGAGAACAAAGGCACTAAGGTCTACCAGATAACACATGGAGATCAGAGTAAGTGGACTAACTTTGTGACTTCTGTATTTTGAAGCAAGAAAGGTAGTTCACGTGCAACATAAGTTTTGTCAGTGCCTGGGGAGGCACGCTGTGCTGGTAAGCGCTCTGGTTTGGGTGGAGAACTTGAAATTTCCTGCCCTCGCTCACAGTCCACCTGTGCCCTGAAGGAGCTGTGCGCTTTGCATACTGAAGTGTGGGAGAGAGGAGGAACAGGCGGAGGATACCCTTTCGTGGTACGAATGTGTTTACTGTGCAATACGTGCAATTCATTGTCCTTAATTTTCTTATATTTTGCTATTTTTAGAAAGCCCTACGGTAATGCTTTCTGCAGGCAGCTTCTCTTCTCCATATGAACATCTCAGCCAGCCCGAGACGAAGCGGATGGTGGAGCATTACACGGCGTACCTCAGTGACAACACACGCCTGATTGCCAATCCTGGCCTTAAGGTATGTCCTCGGTGCTGACTGCTCTGGGCAGCCCTGGAGACCCTGGTTTCCTCACGTCCCACACCTTCATCCGGGAGGGGAGGGCCTGAAACATTGATCTCCTGATGCTCGTAGGGTTATGGAGAGGTGGTTCGGAGTGGTATTCCCATGCCTGGAGAGATGGCCATGGGCTTCAAGGCCCAGAAGAGTGGAGAGAGGAGGGGAGAGGGCTTCCTCCCCAAGAAGAGGGAAAAACAAACACTCGAAAATTAAAGCTACAGTAAATTCTTAGCAGAAATAGCTTTCTGTTCTTAGGCTTATAAATGAGAAATTTCTATTTTGCATGCAAGCAGAGCAGTATTTATATTTACGTGAAGTAAAAAAGCAAACTCTAAAAGCTGCAGAGATAACGACAACAATATTTCATTATAATAAGCTTTTCCTTTGCTTGGAATGTGCCAGATGCATCTGGTGTTAGAAGACTTTAAACAAGTAATTGAGTTTAGATGATCTCCAATCACTCTTTAGGAAACCCCGCAAGCAGCTTATTATCTTTTCATGCAAGTCTTAGAGGAACCCTGCTAGGTCTGCCTTTGTTTTGCAGTTTTCTGTCAGAAATGAAGTAATGGCTACCAGTCACGTCACAGATGAATGGATGACACAAATGGAAATGAGTAGCCTGAACAGTTATATTGTGCGCCGTTACATAGCAACCCCCAATGGGGTGCTCCGAATTTACCCCGGTTCCCTCATGGACAAAGCATTTGATCCCACCAGGAGACAATGGTGAGTTTTTAGGGTCCTGTTATCAAAGCTTTGGATAATCTTGGAGGGCAATAAGGAAAATATTTGGTATCGATTTCATAGCCTGGGGTTTTTTATGGCCAGCTATCAACTATTTAACTAGAAATGTTTCATCGTGGGTAAAAGGCTCGGTGCTTAAATACAGCTAGTTAAAACCTTTATTGGTTCTAATTTCAACCCTTTTTATTTTAAGTGATAGTTTCTGTTTCATATCCCTGCTATGGCAGATGGGAATATAAATATTCAGAAAATGAGCATCCCCTTTAGGGATTAGCTAATTCGAGAGTGTTTTCAGCTCCTTGTGCCATTTTTGGTTGTTAATATTTTGGTCTTTTTGTTTGTTTGTTTGCAGCGGGTTTCATCGCTAATTTAAAGTAGGAATTTGCTGGCTTGACAGTGCACTATTAATTATGCACTAGCACCTGATTTGGGAAAATATTTGTGTGCATTACAAATGAGAGCCTGAGACATGAGAGCGCTCTGGAGTGTGTTTTGATGTGTGTGCTTTGTTGAAAGGAGCCAGCCAGGTGCTGCCGCACAGCAACGCTGGGAAAGGCACGAGCCAGCGCCGGGTCCCAACCCTCCAGCTGTACGGGGAAGGCTCTGAATTGCTCCTGGCATTGGCTGTGCTGCAGGTCTCCTGACCCATGTTTTCCCTGAAAAAATCATTACCATAGCTACTGATTCACTTTTCTTCAGGTTTTCTTCCTTTTTGTTGTTGTTTATGTTTTTGCTGACAGAAAAGATACTGGAATTTTGCTCTCTTTTTTTGTAGTGAGATGAACAGGGTGCATTCATGTTGTAAATTAACTGAATGCACTTTTACAAGCCCTTGTCTCCATTTTAAAAGCTCTCAAATTATTTTCGTTATTGTTTTTGGGAGGGGTTTTTTTTTTGCTTTTACACTTCACTGATTTTTTTCAAACCATGGTTTTGAAAAAGCCTCCATATGCAGCACGCCATAGTGTCTTGTTTTTTATATAAAGCCAAATGGCAGTGTTTTGGAAAGAAAATGCAAGCAAAGCACTAGTAATAAAGTAGAATTCAGCCACTTGCACGGTGCAGTCCAGACTCATGGACTGAAAAGCAAAGTAATAGATTTTTCATACACAGAAGGGTTTCCAACAGTTGGAATGTTTTATAAACTTTCTTATGACAGTAGGAAGATACTTGACAAGATTGTGGCTCATTTTATGTTGACAGTAAGTTTTAAAAGAGATTGTAATTTGTAATCACTTTCTGACATCTTGCCAGATTTTCATGTGTGAATTCTGCCTATAGGACGTCCTTTCTTCTGCGTTTGTAACATAATAATTTTGCCAGTGTTTGCTTTGAGTTTGAGACTCCCCTGGCACTAAGTCATACGTTGTTCTGGAGAAAAATGTCTAAAATGACATTACACGTATTCTGTGCAGAAGTAAATTGAGCTTTTATAATGCAGTGTATGCACTGAGGAACCATTTATTGAGCAAGTCTGTTTTAGGTCTGGGTCCTAATCATACCTAGGTACTTGTTTAATATTAAGAAACATTAATTTGGTAGCACGTTGTTCGCAGTGTGCAGAATTCAATGTTGTCTGTGTTTCTGCAAAATCAAGGATGCTGTCTTAAAGTTTACAGTAACCCCTTTTCACTAATTATGAGTGTTTCTTTTGGCTGCCCTTAGGTACTTGCATGCAGTGGCTAATCCAGGACTAATTACCTTTACTGGTCCCTACTTAGATGTTGGAGGGGCAGGCTACGTCGTTACGATCAGTCACACGGTCCATTCTTCCAGGTAAATGGTGTTTTGAGGTTTGTGTCAAGCAAGAATACTCTCAATTATCAAGATGTGCTTTGGGTAGGAGAGAAATATGCTGAGCAACTCCTACATGTTCAAGAACTGAAAACCAAACCTGTTTCTAAGGTGCTTTTGATGAAATGTAATATAACCTTGTGTAGATTCAGTGGAAATAGTATATTTAAATACTATGAAAAATCCATGTTACATGAATAGGTTTATATTCTGTAGCTTTATTGATATATGAATAATAACAGCATATAGAAAAAAAGATTGACCGGTGAGAGTGTGCTCCTGGAGAACATGAGATGAGATGTCACGTATGCAAGACAGGGACCTAGGAGGAGGAGAGGGATCGCTTTCATCAGGCAGTTTGGGATATGTTCCCTCTCTGCTGGTAGTCAAATACTTTTTCATCAAGACAGCTACTCCCTAAATTTCCTGAAGTTACTTACACTTAAACTTCTGAAGTTTTATGTACCAGGGTGATGTTTGGAAGGAAATAAGAGGTGAAAGCAGATCTACCTAACTGCAAATTAAAACAAGACTGTTTTAATTAAAGCTCTGTCCGTACTCCAGAAGTCGGGGGAGCTCCTCGCCTGGGCTGTTTAATTTCGGCACTTCTGGACAGGGGCTTTCAGGAGTAAGAAGAACTTGAGGAGAAGCCTGTAAACCTTCAACTGCCCTTACAGGATTGCAGAAGACAAATCAGAGTGGAAACAGCGGCCTGTGCCTTTGGGATCAAAACCAAAATGAACATCACAGCCATATAGGCAGAAGCATTTTCTTTGCTAATTAGTCTTCTATGGTTTAAAAAAAGGAAAGGGGAAATTCAAATGTATCTTCATTCAAAGTTGATCAAGAGAATCTCAGCGTTTCCCTTCTTCTCAGTACAGTGTAGTATAACCACCAGGAGAAGTGGAGTCAGTCTCTCTATGAACATCTTGTCGGTACGGGAATGACTCTTCCCTCGAGGACCAGACTTTTTTTGTTTCAGCTCCTTCCTGGCCAGGCCCCCAGCCTAAGGCTCAGGTTCGGATTGAGATGTAGAATGTTTAAAGGAGGTCAGTTTATAGAATATGTACTAAACTTTTCTATCGTAAGCTCTCCCAAGTTTCAGAAATAGTAGTTACTCGTTTTGGTTTTTATACAGAGTCTCTTCCAAGACTTTCACTGAGCATGTGGCTTCTGCACACACTCCATCTAAGACCCCACCAGTACAAAGGTAACTTCTAACGTTGCGCTGGTAAATACAAAGCACAAAGCCAGCAGAGCCCGGGACACTGCTTTTCTACTCTTCTCAGAGACATCTCGGCTTTGTTTGGGATTTCTCACCACAGGACATCTGCCTGTCTTTTTTGGCAGGAGTATTATCAGGCCTAATGCCTTCGTGGTGCTTCTCACAGAGGAATTTACTTAAGGGAAAAAAACACTTTTGTAAGAGGAGAAATGCAATTAATCAAAATTCTGATTTTTATCTAGCAAGCGACGGTTCAGTTAGCTTTAAGAACTTAAAGCTCGCTATTAGAACATGATTAAAGAACGGTTAAACAAAGTTTGGCAGATGTGAGTGTGATTCCTGGGTAAATATGACCTCTAAAGCTTATACTCACATGCGGTTATAATCCCCAAAGAGGTCTTAATTAAAAAAAAAAACGGAGGGGTGGGGGAGGAATCAGTAGAGTTAATAGGAAACTCGCATTAGGAACTGCTGTGTGGGTTTAAATAACAACATTAGTTTATCTGGAACTGACGCTGATCTCTCATTCCCATTTTATGTATATCATTTCTTTTTGGAGGCTGAAAATAGAAGATTCATGCAAGAAGTTATTTAATACAGCTTGCATCAGCAAACCAGAAGGATTTAATGCTTAAAAATGAATATAAAATATTTACAGCATTCCTAATGGCTGTAACTTCGTAGCTTGGTGCCTTGTCACATACAGTTAAGTGTATCCGTGCTGCTTCACTGTCATCCTTTTCCCCATGCCTTCTCCATGAAATGGGTAATGTTAAAAATAAATTAAATGCAGGTTTTTAGAATCTATATAAATCTACAAATTAGATTTGACTACATCTTCACTGTACCTCTTTAAAAGCAAACAAACTTCAGTCCAGTAAACAGAGTTGGTTTTATATGGATAAGGGGTTGCCAGCAGCCTCTACTTTGTATAGTCCAGCTGTGCTGTTCAGTTATTTTCTTTTTCTACACATTTTTATTCCTATCTTCAGAGATAAAATTACTTAGAAAAGTAAATTTTAAAAAGTAGCAAGTCAAAGGTGTCTCCTTTGTCATCAGCGTAGGGCCCACATAGGTGCAAAATAGCATGTCCTGCAATTTGAGGATTAGCTGATCATTTTGCGTCCTTTGGGTAACTTGGTCTGGCCGAGCCGTCTCAGTGCTGCAGGAAGCAATCCTTGAGGATTTGGGTGTTAGAAGTGGAGGAGTGACAGAGATCCCTTCATCATTCGGTCCAGCCTCAGGCTACTGCAGATCACCGCATCATACAATCATTTTCATAACCTGCCATAATAAATATTAGTTATTTTCCTCTATTATTATATTAGAAGGCTTTTGTTGCAGAACCTCACTGCTCTGGTGCCCAGCTGCCCAGTGGGGATTTGCGCTTTAGTTCACGTGCGTTGATTCAGGAGGTCTTGCATATCTGGATGTTTCTCCTGAGGGGAAGGTGGGAATTTGCCAGGACAGGAAGTTTTGGGAAAATAACAACATAAATAGAATATAATTTCTATTTGGAGCTTTCAGCATCCAAATGGTCTTAGCCAAATGTCAAGACTGTGTTTCTTCCAGGAGACCTCTTGCAATTGCTTCGCTAATGGTGAGGAAAGTTAAAACGATACAACAGAGCAAAAGTAGCGCTTTTTTACCTTTATAGAGCTGTGAGAAAATACGCTTCCATACATCAGCCTGAGACTGTTTTGTCGGTCTTTGATGTATCAGTTGCTAAGGCAACTGTGTATATTCCCGAACTGGTGTGTAAAAATAGGAACACAAGCGCATTTTCAGTATGGGTGAAATATTGCAGTTCACAGCAGCTCTTGCTGCCGCTGCTGGTGAGCATCCACAGAGACTCCAGGTTCTGCCCTTTCCCTAAATGTTTATTTTGTGGTTGCCCTACATTGGAAGAAGATACTGAACCAGAACATTTGTGAAGTGATAGGGTTTTAAATGTCACTTGACTCTCCGTAGGCAGTGGGAGGCAGTGTCAGGTTAACGTGAATTACTCCTGTTTAATTCCAGCTAGCACGGATAACTGGCTTGTTAGTAGGATGTGATTTGAAGCATTTAACATGGTGCTGATTAACCAGCACCTAAATACCGCTTAGTTGCCTGGTGCAAGGTAACCTCATTCATGTCTGTACCTTGCCCAGCTTTTTTTTCTGGCTGAAATTCATAACCACTCCTACACTTCGGAATTTTAGGGATTTCGCAAAATGTCTACGGCAGCTTCATATTCAGGTCCTAACGCTGGGGGCTGAGCAAAGAGGAGCGGTGCAGAACATAAACCCCCCGAGGCGGTGGGGATTCAGGTGCTGGAAATGCAGGAGCTGCGTTCATTTGTGCGGGTGGGGAATTTTTAATCCTGATTTATATTGCTAAATATTAAATGTCTATAGGTGGTAGGGGTGTTTGTAAGAGTCGAGGGAGAACAGCCCGTGGGGAGAAGGGTCGGTTCCTGGGTGTGATCCACTCCTGGGCTGTCCCCTGTCTCCTCCATGTGCTGGTTGTATGAGGTGCAATTTATTGGAGAGACTTCAGGATTTACAGCAAATAACTAACACTGTTAAGACACTGTTCCTGCCTTTACAGCTGCTACAACTGTTCATTTAAACACAAGCAGGGTGAACTGAGCTTCAGTGTGGAGGTGTGGATTTGAGCTGGTCATTTATATGCCAGGAAGCCAGTCCCCCTTTTCAAGTAATTAAAATATTAATTATTAATACAGCCATGAAAGCCTTTTTCCTTTTTTTCCTCCCCTCTTTGCAGTGCACAGATGTCTTCAGGACATTCGGTGGCAGTAATGGGCATTGACTTCACCCTCCGATACTTCTACAAAGTTCTCATGGACCTGCTGCCAGTTTGTAACCAAGATGGAGGAAACAAAATAAGGTAAGCCGTTCCTTCCAGGCAATAAATATCTAAAGCCTTTTTGTTTTTTTCTTCCTCTAATCAGATGACCTAGAGGTACTTTCCAACTTAACTTATTCTAGGATTCTGTTACTTTCAATGTGTGTTCTCTGATTTCCATTAAAATTTGTGCTTGTTCTTCTCATAAAGATTATGTGGACTTTTTTGTTATAGAAGATCAAACTGTCATCAGCTAAGTAAACAGTCTGCAGGAATACAAAAACAGAAGATAATGGATTTTTTTTTTTCCCCGTTATATTTAGAGTTCACTGAAATCCTGGGCTAAAAACCATTCTTTATTAAATGAACACACTTCCCATTCTCTTCTATTTGTTTTCATTTTCACTATTTAGTTACTGTGAGCATGTAATAATGATGTATTATTTCTAGTTATTTTAACTACGATTATTAAAATATACTTTTGTTATATTTTTCTCAGAAATACATAGCACAGCACTAGTCAGAAGAAGTCTGATTTCATCTGGAGTATCTAATTTTATTTAGACCTAGGCGTATCTTAATTGTTCCTCTTTCCTTTACCCTTTTTTTGGAAAATCACGTGGGGGAGGGCAGGGGTAGACTCTGGTTTGGATCTGGAGTAACTTGATAACATGGTTTGGGCATTGTTATTGTTTCTTTGTTTGTTTTTAAATCTTAAATTTGGGAAGGGAAGTGGTTTTCTGTCATCCTCCCAGTTCTTTTCTGGTTTGGTTTGGGTATTTTTTAATATATTTTATGGTGTATTAAAAAAAAAAAAAAAATCAGGATTTCTGG